TATTTACGTTGAAAAGGCTTGTGTTGCCCACAAAAGTTACTAAATTTTTGATTTGGGGAATTATCTATAAAAAAAACAGACTTTATACATTTTTTTAAGTAAAGATCTCTTTCAAAGACATTTCAATGAAAGGTTGTCTGAGACCTATATTGACTTTGAAACACTAGCTGATGAACTCATACAAAATGCAAAACGGATATCAACTACTAATAAAACCGTAAAAGTTCGAAATAAATCATGGATTAATAATAGTTTCTTGAAATTGATAAATCAAACAGATAAAATACTCAAGACTAGAACGTAGCCCGGAAAATGAAGTAGGTATTAAAGAAAGAGTTCAATTTAAAAAAAAAAATCATTATAACAATTATTTAAAAACCAGACTGGAAAGTAACTACCTATATAACCAGTAAATTTGAAAATGCACGAGGTTAATGGTGTGATTGCAAATGATTACAATAATTACTCAGGCCTATAGATTTCTTATTAACTAATGATAACGGTATTGAAGATTATCAAGGAATTGCATAATGTTTAAATGCTTATTTTCGAGATATAGGAAGCACTATTGGCAGGGAGGTTGAAAACAAAGATTGCAATAGGAACGGGCGGATCTCAATGTGAAAGTACCTGGAGTAGGTACATGAGCATCAATCCATATTCATGAAACCATGCAGTTATTCGTAAACTGAATACAAAAGCAGCTCCTGGACCAGACGAAATCACAACCACTGATCTACAAACTATAAAGAATCTTATAATTCCAGTGTTGGCAAGGTTAACTAATGAGGTTTTGTCAACCGGTCGCTATCCAAATTGTCTTGAACGAACTAAAATAATTCCAATCCATAAAGTAGGCAGTCATGATCCTGGCAACAAGATACCTATCGCTCTGATATCAACTTTATCTGAAATTATCGAGAAGATAATAAAGATTAGAATATGTGACTGTATTAGGAAAACCTTTAAATTTGATTTGCAACAATATGGCTTCCAAAAGGCTGCAGATACGCAGGTAGCAGCAGTTGACATGGTCGAGTATAATTTGAGTAGCTTGGACAGGGGCAATTATAGGATTGTGGTTTTCATGGACCTTCAAAAAGCGTTCGATACTGTTAACACTAAAATTCTTTTGGAAAAGTTGGAAGGTGTGGAAATTAGAAGAGTAACATACAACCTTATGAAATCGTATGTCACTAAGCGGCAGCAAGATAGAGTGGTCAATCAACGGGAAGTTATCACAAACAGTGGAGTTCCACAAGGCTCGGTCCTGGGACCTCTACTGTATTTTTTGTATGTGCAGTCGTTCAAAGGCAAGTCTGAACTGTAAATATATAACATTTGCTGATGATACAGTGTTGCTCTTCGTGGATCCAAATATCCAAAAGTTACAGCAGACCCTTAAGGGTATTGGATGCGCCTCAATGCCAAAATATTTTTTCCTGCGCGAAGCACCTAACGCAGTCTATCAGTGTATTCTTCCGCTCCGATTAATACTCCTAAGGCCCAGTTGTACAATCTTGGTTCAAAGCAGAGTTCAGCTAAACTCGACTGGTACTTGAACTTCCCCATTTGAAATGCATTGCTGTCAAAATTGATAGAATTTGATTAATAGCTGACAGCAATGTATTTTAAATGGGAAAGCTCAAGTACCAGTCGAGTTCAGTTGAACTTTGTTTTGAACCGAGATTGTACAACTGGGCCTTAGTGGGAATGAAATGAATGAAACAAGGAATGCATTGCATTCCTAATAATTTCAACCTAATTTTTTAACAATTGAAATTATATCAACTTTCTTTTTTGCATTCGATTTATAATATAGGGACGAATGGCGCTATCTTTTTAGAAATCCCATAATAGAAACAAGTTCTCGAAAAATTACAAAAATGTAAATTAAACTGAAAAAAAAACAAGAAAGTTAATCAATTTATGGTGTTTTTTTTAGTTAGCGCCATTCTTATGTGTGTTAGCAATAGAATGGCGCAAACTAGAATTCCCAAAATTATCTATTTTTTTTTGTAGAAATTTTATTGATTCTTCTTGTCATTTTGTCTATCTCTGTTATGCCTACAGCAAACCCCATGGTTCTTTCCACCGCCTGTTTTTCTATATATTTTAAATCGCCGTGATGAAGGATCCAGTTCCGACCGGCTCAACAGTAGCCCAATGCAATGATCGCGATGAACCTCGCGTCTTTATTAGTATTAACTTATTGGGTAGTTGTATAGTTCGACGTGCCCTACAATATATTTTAAACGGCGCATTCAATACCCTTAATCGCTCCTTATTTACATTATAGAAATCGCTTCTCTAAAACAATTTGAAGATTAACATGAATACAACAGTGTTCATGACTTTTAAACAAAAAAACAAATCGATAGTCAATTCTATAGACATAAAAATTAATAACACAGCATTAAAAATGGTTGACTCCTAAAAATATTTGGGGCTTACCGGCTTACTTATAACACAGACTTAACATTCAAACTACATTTGAACTTATTGAGGAAGAAAAGCTGGTATATGTGGTGTAATTAAAAAATGTGTAAGCATTCTACCTGATTGCACGAAGACTGTAATATATTATGAAGGAATTTTTAAATCACATCTGCAATACAATGCAAAATAGATTCATAAAATATCTACCTTTATCATCTCCCAAGACTCTATCCAACGTTTTCTATAAGGAAATTGAGTTGTTGAAAGTTGAACAAATAGTGCATCTAGGAGAATTCAAATTTATGCAAAAAATTATACATGCCTAGTCAAGTTAAGACAAATATCAAACCTATAAAAAATACCGACGTACATGGTTATTGCAATAGACAGCGTGGTAATCTGCACATAAAATAATCCAGAACTAACATTGGAAGGAACAGTGTAGTTGACAGAGCAATGATGACATACAACAATATTCCCGATAATATACAAAGAATAACTACTCCATTTGGATTTAAAAGACAAACATGCTTGTGATACAGAACTGTCTATGAAACAGGAACATTCCCATTCTCCTTTGGCTCTTGTTTCTTATTTGCTTAAAGAACCCTATTGTTTGTAATAATTCAAATGTTATCTCTTATGTATGTACTTATTTTTCTAAAATTCTGAATTGGTATTAAGTTTATTTCATTTGAATTTGGTTTAATTAGAGATATATAACTATATAACCCCAAATATATTTAATGCTGTGTTACATAAAGGCTAGAACTTGATATCAGTCATGTACATGTACTATTTTGAGTTCATAAATAAAGTTATATATAAAAAAAAAAAAAAACTTGTTATAGAAATCCTGTAACGCCCACCAAGGGGATATAGATGCCATCAAACAGTGGACAACCACCTGACAAATGCCACTGAATGACTCCAAGTGTTCAATTATCCACCTGGGCAGAAACAACCCCAGGATGCAATACCTAATTGGGTCTACAGACTACATAGGTAATGTGTGTTGCTGAACAAAATGATTTGGGAGTTGTCATTGAAGACATGAGTGGAAAAATCATATCAATGGCATCATAGAGAAGTCAAACTTCACCAATCACCTTATCCAAGGCGTTTAAAAAGCCCACCCCCCAAATGGTTGTAAAGCTGTACAAGGGTTATATAAGACGGCTGGAATATGCCCAAACCATATGGAGTCCTTATTATGTCAAAGACATTGATTGAAGCACTTGGAAAAGTCTAACCCCGTGCTCTTCGTGACCTCCCATACCAACAAAGGCTGAACCTCCCTACACTTTATGAGAGACGAACGCCTGGGGATCTAGTGGAGACATTCAAAATAATTAGTGGACACTGCAGGTGCTAGATAAGTGTGTTTGAGTTCAGTCACAGCCAGCATCTAAGGGGTCATAACAAGAAACTCTGTAATCTGTAAGAACAGATTTACCAGGATTTTGCGTAGTATTTTTTTGTCCAAGTGAGTAGTTTATAATTGGAATCGACTTTGTTGGAACACTGATGTAAATGCATCTTCAGTCCTCCTGTTTAAAAACAGACTGGACAATAAAAGTTTCCCTTGTGGACAATAAAAGTTTCCCTTGTGATTTGTTCAGTAGGTAAGTATCCGGAAGGTTCTGTACATAAAGTAGAGCGCGAAGTTTGTGAGGTGTAGTAATTTTCAAATAATCCAGTTGTACCGAAGAGGGGTACTAAAACAACTTCATATAGAGTTAAGTTAAAGCGCTAAGTGATTGAATTTTTTGAAGTCAATCAGTTCCATATAACTTGTTGCTGTTTTTGAGAGGGGTTCTAGTGTATTTGCGGTATCCATGAGACAGGATAATTACTAAAAATTTGTGATCCAAGTCTTTTACATTCGAAAGATTTTTATTTTTAGCCCATTTCAAAATGTTACCTTAAGCTGTAATACTAATTGGAGTATATGATATAGGAAATCATTAGCCAAATTTCCCAAATATACTAACACACACACAAGGTTACAGATTTCTTTATAAGGAACTCGAATAATTATTTAAATGAGATTTGATCTAATTTTTTTTAAAACTCATTAATTAGTTGTCTGTATGGGACCACCAGTTTCACAGTAGGACACATAAACAATATCAATAAAAATTGAATGTTTTCGTTAAATTTTATTTGATTGTGTATCATAGAAAAGGCCTATCCCATTTACTTCTTGCGGTCGGGATCAAAAAATTATCGAAAATCGCAAAATGAACCGTGAACCAGTCCCTTTATATAAGGCCCTAGGTGCCGCGCCCACCCTTGCCGAAAATAAGTTATAAATATCTTTTATTTTTGAGAAATTGAATTCTCCCGGGGGTGGGATTGATATTTTCGCATTACTTTACGACGTGAAGATTAGTTCGAAATTAGAGGGCGCTAATTTCCGTTATAATTAATCTTTGGTGGTGTGCCATCGATTTAGGAGATTTATATTCGACATATTTTGTAAACGATTTTAAATCAAGTTTAACATTTATTGAATACAAAAATAAGAAAGGAAATGTAACAAAATTCAACAGCGGTTATCATTTTCCAGATCCATGTCCCCAATGGGTAGTCTTGACATAACTGGTACCACCAACACCACCATAATCATGACCATGACCATGTTTACCATAATGAGCTGGGTGCTGGGCATGACCTACCCTTTTAACGACAGCCTGGAATCCGTGATGAGGGTCAGAAGTGTATTCGACAATTCTGTGAGTTCCGTCTGCTTCTTTCATGGTGTAACCTCCTTTGACATGATCATGATCACGGTGTTCGTATTGCGATTTAATGTCGTGCGTGTGAGGGTCGTGGACACCATATTCAAATTGGTAATGAGGCACAGCCTAGAATTTGGATATTAGAAATAGGTTTTCGAGGTTTATTGTTTACTTACGTGGTGGTCTTCATGTCCATGTCCATAATATTGAGCCAAGACGGCTTGGGTGGCAATAAACGCAACGAATAAAGTCTTGAAAAGGAAAAACAAGTTTTATATGATTGAATATATTTCAATATAGGTATATACTTACTGATAATAGATTCATTATTGGTAATATAATCAAGACCTAAACAGAAGATCTGTCAACTGCCAACTGATACCAATAAAACCAAAACCTTCCACTTTTATAGGTGGTAAGGCACAAAGTTACCAAACCATATACATGTCGTTGTGCCTAATCACAAAAAGGCCAAATTCAATTTTGTATCGGTAAATTGAGTAATTATGTAAGTATGTGTGTACAAACAATTATTATTAGTTTAAGCTTGCACATAAAAATTTTACGCACTATCGGTTCAATCATTGGACCTGTGTCGAGGCTAAAAAATAATTAGGTTCTTGTATTACATTAGATTTGAATATTGTTGAGATAAAATCCTTTGTAACTTTTTTAATGTACCTACTACCAATATAGTTTGGAATCCGATGGTTTAACTTCTGCCACAATTTTTTCAGTGCAACTTAATTTCGCAGCAACATCATCAATTATGATCTGGACAAAAAAATCTACAAAAACACCCCCCAGATAAAAAAAAAGGCTAGCCCTGCTAAAGCAAAACGTCTCAAAACCAAATTAATTAATTAAAAAATACTACGCTCCTAATTTACCTTCCAAAAGTCATTAGTCGAAATAATTTGCCATCAAAAACTCCGATAAAGCCATATCGCCGTCAAAAATCAAACATTTTTCGGTGGTACCGCACCGTTAAAGCGCCACTAGCAGAATCGAAGGGTTGGAATTATGATAATGATAATATCATTTGACCCATCGTGGTTGGGTGGTCTTTTTAATTCATTATTGTTCTTTGTTTTTTTTTGTCGAGCTCCGCCCATCGTAGCAAAATATTTCCCAAAATTGATAATAAAAAACTAATCGGAGAATTGGATGTGTCAACTTGATTGTTATTTATTTTTCTTTTTGGCTTGTTTTGAGATCCTTTACTAATGAAGGATGAAGTTTTGCTTCCGTTAGGATTTTGATTTGGCTTAATTGAGTTATGGCAACTGGCAGGAACGGTGAATTTTTATTAGTGAAGATTTAGAAGCTTTAGGATGAAGATTGTGATTGAAGATTCTTTGGTGTTCTCATTTATTTTATCTAAAAATCTGATTATTTTATTTACTTTGAGAAATCACATTCGGCTAACAAGATTAACCGAAAAAGATTGCGATAAGTAACCGCTACTGGTCATGCGTAACGCAGTTTCCACAATATTTACTTTATGGTTGTCAGTTGCAACAATTTTTTTCTGTTTTGGATTTATCATTACTTTCATTAACAAAGCAACTAAATTAGTAGGCATCTTGATTAGCTCAAGTTTGGCCCAAATTTCCTTACATATCTTCCTCAAATCTACAAATTTCATTTTTAAACCTATCAAAATAACATAAAAATCTTATCAACTTCACATTGAAGTGATTGTCAACATGTTCATAACAACTTACAAAGTAAGTACAGAAATTACTTAAAAGTTCCAATAACCTACATACCTAATTATCTGCACAAAGAAAATAAATTGTCAGTCAACCATGCCCAAATTATTAAAATTTGAACAAACATTACCAAATTCTTACCAGTGACAAAACGCATATTTTATTTCTTTTTTGTTTGATAAAATTGCCGAACAATGTTGAGCAAGTGATTAGATTTTTGATATATAAACGCTCGATAATGATTTTTATCTTCAGTCTGAGTTTATAGTTGGATTTAAACATGAATACCTTCTCTGTGAGTGAAATTGGTTTAGTTTCTATTCATTCATAAAATTGTTGATTATTTTTAGGCCCTTTTGATAGCTTCCCTAGCCATCCTTAGTACTCTAGCATACCCAGACCATCATGGACATGGTGAAGAAGATCACGTTGTAATTATAGGTACTTTATTTTTGTCAACAATTTTATAATTATTGTCAATTTTAGGCTCCAGGTTACCATTATGAATATGGTGTACACGACCCTCATACCCATGACGCTAAATCCCAACACGAACATCGTGACCACGATGACGTAAAAGGAGCTTACACCATCCACGACCCAGATGGTACCAAAAGGATCGTAGAATACACTTCTGGTAAACACGACGGGTTCCAGGCTGTAGTGAGACGTGAAGGTCATGCCCAACACCCTGCCCATTACGGTAAAGATGGTCATGGTCATGGTGGTGTTGGTGGTACCAGTTATGTCAAGACTACCCATTGGGGACACGGATCTGGCAGATAATTATAGTTTAAAACCAAAGATAATTGCCATGTTTTTTGTATTCGATTTTGTTGTTGAAAAAATAAATGAAGTTAAATTGCTATTTGAATTTTGTTGAATGGTTGAGTTTGGTGCTAAGAGGCGTGTGTTTTGCTACATAGAACATGTGTTTCTGTAATGTGTTTCGCATCTGTTAATGCTTTCTATTCATAATTGAAGCAAGAGCCATTACTACTTCCAATATACTTTTATTCTACTAAAGAACACTGTGACATCTCTAATACTGACATCACTATTTTTACTTCTCCCGCACGTCCAGGAATATTTTCAATTATACGCGCTATAGGCTATTCAAATTTATTTTCATAATCTGAGATCAAGACAATATCTACAACTTTTACTGTCTCTTTAGAATTTGTGTTGGAAAAAAGAGTCAATTGACCTAAATTTTCTGACTTAAACCCCTTATTCAGATCTTCGCTTAGTTTCAGTCGGTATGTATTTAAATCTTTTACCCAGATCCTTAGCTTCAACTAAATCAAGATCTACAATTCCTACTTCTTGTATTGATGCGGTGTTAGAACAATATCGTCATTGGGATCCTCAGACATATACGTCAGTATATAGTCGTGCATTTGAAATCGCGTTACAAACGCAAAGTACGGCCTGTAGTTCTTCCATATTAAAGCTTGTTTTCCCATATGTTTCACGTACCAAATCTTTCAACATCCTCATGAGTCGTTCTCGCCATTCACCAACCACTTCACCAGTCAACTGTTAGAAGACTAATTTTCCATTCAATTTTCTGTATAGTAATACAGCTTTTATCTAGATACTTTTGTGCAATCTATGTTTTCTAAAGTATTGACACATCCAACGGAGGATGAAGATGAGCACCACGGTAGATCGCACATACAGTACTATCCACACTTTTTGGTTGGATTTGAGGTGTAAAGGTAGCTGGTCCTTTAAACCTCAAATACAACCAAAAAGTGTAAATCGTCAACGTAGAAAGACTTCATTGATTTGGAAATAACCTCACGACTGTAGGTTACTTCTTCGCGCTCTGATTTTTTGAAAGTTTCCTTAAGTAGTCTATAACAAATACCACTCGTGTGTGTCTGAATATCTTCAAGCTTTGGTCTTTATCATACCACAGGAACTTTAACAAATTTCCATCACTTTCTTGTAAGCTAATCTGAGAAATGTTATATCATAAGTTACTCCAATCTTCTATGTTCGAAAACGTAAAATCATGGAACGGATTAAGTCAATACTTTGTTGTTGATACACTTTTCCAAACATTGATTTAGTAAGAGATTGTTGAATTTTTTCTCTTTGTTGACGCATCAAAAACAGGTCGAACAGGTGTTCTGGCACTAGGTTTGTAAACTGGATGGTGTGGCAAAACATGACCAGACTGACATCAAATTTAAAAAAGTTTATTATTATCTGAGGATAGGTGTGATAGCGAGATTCTGTTAATTGGTATTATAATTTTGGTTTCTGGCATTCGTGTCACTGAAGTTTGAGGACTTGACCGACTTGACATTTTGCAATGTTTTTCTTGACAGAACATTTTGCTCTTAAACGTCAACTCCGGAAAACCTAGCCAAAACGTATCCAGGAATGGCAACAAGCAGCACTGACAAGTTTTGTTTTCGTTCGTCAAAAGTGAGTTTCAAGCCTTCTTTACATGGGATTGTATTCCTAAACTTTCTAGGGCTCTTAGCTGGGACTCGATTTTTATAAAAAAAATTACAATTTATTTTTTGTATTACCTAAGTTTTGTTAAAACCAACTTAAGAAATTCTCTTATATAAACTTCTTAAACAGATCTTCTCTTCCAAAAATTGCCTGAATTCAATTTTTGGGAAGTTTTAGATTTGATTTAGATTCTGATTTCTGCTTGTGTCTTCCCTATATAGTCATCTTATAAAAGTTAAATTTTATTTCGTGGTATCTAAAGTTCAACTCATCCATGAATTCTACTTTTTTTTATTATTTATTTATTTCAGACCTCGAAACAGTATAATACATACTGGCACCAAGGCCTTCAAAAACTAACAGTTATATGAGTATTAAGTAGATAATAATAAATTACAGGAATATATTCCTTCAAAAACTTTTTTTGATATACTTTTCCAGGTTACGGCTCACTTTCAGCTGACTTCCTGTAAAATTAACTTTGGATATTTTGTTGACAATTCGGTAAGCTGGAGAGTCCTATCCCTTTTTTGTCCCAACATGGTTGTTCCAAATGTTTGTATTTGTCCTTGTGTTATACATCTGGTATTCATTTGTTTCCCTCAGAGTTACATTTGTATTGATCAAATTTTTCTTCATATAGTGTTAACTTGCTTTGTTCTAGGCATGTCAATAATTGTCTAATATTCAAAAATGGAAATGGCTGATATAACTGTTCACTGGGGGTTAACCAAACTAAGAATATTGCTTTTATGGCTTTGTTTAGTGTGCTTTGTAATTTATCCAATAGGTATTCACTAGCATTTCCCCAACACGGAACTAAGTACCTGAGATGTGATTCAATAAAATTGTTATACACATAGTAAATATCTTGTGTTTTTATTTAGTTGATGCGCACACCTTTTTACATAGCATAGCCAATCATAGTACAGTTTAATAGATCCTTATTTACAATATCTTCAACCAGTTGACCATCTTCACTTGTATACACTAAAACGGTATCGTCAGCAAACATAAAATACTCTGATTGAAGTCCGATAAAGGACCCCGCCATATTTAAATGGAAATTGGTTACTCGTGATATTTGGATGAAATTTAAATGTTATTGGGGATGCCGTAAGCAATATTTTTTACCATGGGCACAACCCTGTATATATGACAGGTGAGGCGTGGTTAGCTGTCAAATATTGGAATCTTGAATCCAATAGCAGAGTAACTATGGCAGATTTTGATGAACAAAAAATCTATTTCTACTAAGTCGACCAAGTTAAGTCGAAAAATGTCAACCGTTTTAACACCTGTCAAAACTCTGCCAAACGGCAGCACTCATATTTTCCAGTTTTCAATATTTTATGTTGTTATTTGACATTTTTAACTTATATGTAAATTCTAAATTCAAAAATTAAAAAAAAAATGACAGCTGTCAAAATGTGACGTGCATGAACTTTGTTCAATGTTTTATCACCAATAAACTACCTTAAAACGAGAAAGGACCAGATTAGAGTATTTTTTTCTACTAAAACAAATGACAGGTTTTGACAGTTCTGTCATTTTTTTTTCAATTTTTGAATTTAGAATTTACATATAAGTTAAAAATGTCAAATGACAACATAAAATATTGAAAACTGGAAAAGATGAGTGCTGCCGTTTGGCAGGATTTTGACAGGTGTTAAAATGGTTGACATTTTTCGACTTAACTTGGTCGACTTAGTAGAAATAAATTTTTTGTTCATCAAAATCTGCCATAGTTACTCTGGTTTTGGATTCAAGATTCCAATATTTTATAATAGACCGTGAGATAGGGCCTGTTTAGTGGAGTCATTTTTTTTTGTCTGGCATTTTGAGGGATGAATGTGGCTAGTTAGCTGATGAGAATATAGGTGGTTTTAGTGCTTGCCACCTGTTCGAAATGTCAACAGAATGTTTCGCCGGAAAACTCGACTTCGAGCTGGGATTACCGTCTGGCGATTTTTCAGCGATATTTACACAACAAAACCTTTCATTCTCTCGATTACCAGACAAAAAGTAAACGCGGAAGGTTCTTTTCTTTTCAGTTGAAAGTTGACACTCATCCCCACTTTTTCAGCTATTGAAAAGCATCTGGTATTTTTTATGGGTGAATTATTTATCAATGTCAATCTTTTATTTAGCCAAAAAAATTGAGATCATTAAAAAAAAATCCTCATGCAAAAAATCAATTTTTTTCTTCTGCAAATTTTCGAACAGGTGGCAAGCACTAAAACCACCTATATTCTCATCAGCTAACTAGCCACATTCATCCCTCAAAATGCCAGACAAAAAAAAATGACTCCACTAAACAGGCCCAATCTCACGGTCTATAAGTATTGTAAGGATCCCAAAACTGATCCCTGAGCTACCAACTTGTACAACAGCTTTACTACTAGATTTATTATTTACCATTGTGTATTGTTTTATGTTCTTTGAATATGTTTCCGTTTTTAGGTAATTCCTCCGCATCGCATATTATACAATTTATTAAGGAGGATGTCGATATTGACTGTATCAAAGGCCTTCTGAAGATCAATGAACACCAATACTGCAATCTTGTTTCTGTCAATTTCGTTTGATACATTCCAGAAGATCTACAGTAGCACCCAACGTACTACTGTTTTTTTGGAGTTTTATCAAATTTAAAGAAACCATTGATAAAACTTATTAGTCTGGTTTTAATGACTTTTTCAAGTTCTTTGGAAAAGGTGCTTAGCAGGGACATTGGACGGTAGTTAGCTCATCTTGAGCGTCTTTATGCAATAGTACGACTTTAGCGATCTTTAGCTGTTGTGGATAAATAAATGTTTCAAGGATTTCATTGATCATGTCCACCATTTTCTCCTTAATTACGTGGAATAATTTTAAGGGGTCGGACTTTGTCACATTGTCCATATATTGTTAAGTTCAGTTTATGCTTGTTTGAACTCTTTCTCGGTGTATTATAATTTTTTGTTTGTGTTTTAAGTATTTTTATGCACGAACGGGCGTAAAGTGCACTTTTACGCCCGCATTTTGGAGCGTGAAGTAGTACTTTTACGCCCTAGGGCGCCTTTTATGCCCGCGGGCCTGAAAGTTCTAAAATTTCAGAAATAAGCAAGAATTCGACTCAATTTTTTAAACTTTTTGCATTTCTATTGCTTAGTCCTAAAAATACCAAGTTTGTTCAACAAAACAAGCTTTATTTCAATTAATAAGAATAATGGAATAAGCAATAATAATAAAATTCAATCTATTTTCAAATTGAAATTGCCTTCAACATTGAGTAACAGCTCCATAGGGTGGATGGCTTATGCTTATTTTTT